TTCAAAATACAGTATAGTCGTCATTTACGCGGTCAATTGAACCCGTGGAGGTCCGCGTAAAACTATAAACGCGTAAATGAAATAACAGAACATAGGGGATTAATTTAAATAGAGATTGGGCCGACCCCCAAACTACACTTTTTCCGACATAATACGTACGTTGTAGTAAAAATAACATCTTAATTTTATGATGGTATGCACACACAATTAATATTTAAGAGAAATATCAATAATATTAGGTTTTTTAACACTTAGTGTACATTAGTAGAAAAGATGGCTGGGCACACGGGGATGGGGGTTGGTTCTGAGGCAGAGGGCAGACTATTGGCCCTCACCTGTATCAATTGTATCACTATCCACCACAGAGGCTTGCAGGGCCTCTTTGTCAAACCCCTCGAAGTCCATATCCTCACTATCACTGACTTGGGCTGGCTGTGGTGGGTGAAGAACTCGGTAATGTTTTGTTGACTGGGCGACCTTGTGTGCACCCTGCCCGCGCCGCTTCCTGCGTAAATGATGGAATGAACCGTGTAAATTTAAATTGTCGGTCTGGCAAGGTGCCGCGTAAATGACGAAACATGTAAACCAAATCCGCGTAAATTGAGACTATACTGCACATTGTAAAATAAACAAACGAAGTCAGAATTTACTTACGTTCAATAAGCTGCCATGTCGTACCATTTGTTTACCGTATATCACGGCCTATAAGACGAAATTTGAACATTAAAAAAATCTGCCCAAAGTTAGGGGGTCGTCTAAACCACCAAGTTTAAAATTCTTACCTCTTAAATATTGTGGTTTAGTGTGTCAAGAGTGGTGATGAAAACATCGTAAGCCACTCACAAGGTCTTACCACTAATTATTTTATACTGAAACTTACGTTTGGCAAGCTGGATTCAAATTAAGATTACCGGTATATTAAAATAATAAAAATGTATTATAAACCTGTCTAACATACCGTAAAAGAGATTTATACCCCTATAATAAACACAGCTATCATCACACACCCCTCCCCACGCCCCCCCCCCATTTGCCAGTGAGGAGCCGTGGAGGTGGTCAGTAATGCATACCGGTATCGGTATATTTACTCATAATAATATTTATCTCCTATAAATAATTGATTTAAATTTTATTTTTTTCCAAAGAATATTCAGTAAATGAGTGCATTAATTCTTGAAACTATCGACGGTTAATTACAGACGCTCAAGTGACGTCACTAGTGTTTACACTACACCAGCTGGTAATATTTGATGCCATTACTTGAAGTGAATTGGCCTTATTTTAAGTAACTAACTATAAATAAATACAAAAATTAAAAAAAAAGATCAAAACTGAGAAATAATATACTGTATGTATGTTGTGTTGTCAAAGTAAGAGGAACAATTGTGTAAGTACGTAATATTTTTTCACTCAAATCCTAATGAAACACTACTGGAGAACATTCCTTTGTCGCAAAACAGTTTATAAATTAAAGAAAATAATTACAGTGTGTTTAATATATTACAGTATATTATAAATAAATAAATAAAACAAATAATTCGGTAAATCTATTTAAAGTAAATGGAAAATAAGCAAACATGTTATTTACCAAGACCCTTCCGTCTGGCTCAGGGTGAGATGTAGGGGAGATAAAGAAGGCTATTTATAGCCCATCAGAAGTGACCAGTACCCTAATGCACCATAAATAATTCATTGAACATTCATTTTTTGTACATAGTATATTCAGTATATATATATATATATATATATATATATATATATATATATATATATATATATATATATATATATATATATATATATATATATATATATATATATATATATATATATATATATATATATATATATATATATATATTTGTGTAATAAATGTATGTAGTAAGTACATACTGGTAACCTTTTTCACTCAAATCCTAATGAAACACCACAATTAGAATACGGTGGTTGCTGTTGAACCACATGTTGTATAAATAGTCACACCACCGAGACGAGGGAACACTCCCACCACGCTTCAGTGACGTCACTAGTGTTTACACTACACCAGCGGGTATAATTTGATGACATTACTTGAAGTGAATTGGCCTTATTTTAAAAAATCAAGGATGGTTGGTAAAGGACTACTGAGTCAGTGGGTAAGTGTCACATTTGGGGTACTGGTCTTATACAGCAAATAGAGCTCAAAAGCTACTTTTTAAATGGAAATTTGGGGGGGGCGTCTTATGCACCCCGCCGCCTTATAGGCCGTGATATACGGTAAGCCCTATTATGACATTTTGCCTACTCCGCATTTACTATTGGCTACATTCTGTTAGTCTAGTCCACAAATGGTTAAGCAGGATATTTCTGGTTATACAGGCATCCTCCATGATATGGAAACCCGGGTTATGGAAATTTGCCCTTATGGAGTTTTGAAAGTACGACCCCAAAATTTGCGATATGAACAAAAACCTCATCCTTGTGGAATTTGGGTAAATTTAAAAATTTCTACAACAAAGAAATTCACCAAAATTAAAAAAAAAAATCTGGATTCTTGGTGGTAGCTACAAGACGGTTGGAGGGTGGCTCACCTAGCTAGCACCACACTGGCACTGCTGAGTATGAACTCTTTCTCCAGCTTGTGTTCAGTTATGCGTCTATGGATTTGTGATTAATTTATTAAGTTTTTCAAAAGAAAAAATCCCGATATAGAAGAAGAAATTTAACCGAAATTATAAAAAAAAATTTGTGTGGATTCTGCTGGTAGCTGCAAGATGGTTGGATGGTGGCTCACTTCCCCAACAGCCAGCGCAACAATCGTGCTGCTTAGTTAGAAATCTTTTCCAGATTGTTTTCAGTTATGCATCTGTGTTACTGTGTACCCTTATTCAAGATGAATGGAAAAAGGTCATCAACTTCAGTTTCTTTCATAACACTGCACATACAGCACACCAGACACTATTGAACAGCTGATATCTACCCACAAAATTGAGTGTAAATTCATTATAAATGAGCAACATGGTATCCCTTCAACATTACATTACAAAACATTTGAAAATATGGAGTGAGAAAGGAGAAAGGTGTTGGAGATTAGAGAGATGGAGTGGAAAGCAGTGCTGCCAAGCTCTCCTCAACAGCTAATCTTTAACCCACCACCATGCAGTCATGGACTTGTGCATCAGTTAACCACACACAAATATATGTTAAACAATAAGACCTAAACTTAATGCATTGGGTGCATTGATCTGTTTATTCCCATGTTGGAGGGTGTGTTGGAATGATGTTGGAGGGTGTATGGGTGGTGTCGGAGGGTGTGTAGGTAGTGTTGGAGGGTGTGTAGGTAGCATTGGAGGGTGTATGGGTAGTGTTAGAGGTGGTGTGTGTGCGTGCACGCACGTGCACGTGTGTGCACACAGGGTGGTGTAATGCGTCTAGTGTGGCAGCATTATGTTAGTGTTAAGGTGCAAGCACTGCTTGCTTTCTTTTGCTTTCAGCTACCGCCGCTGGCTAGCCCTCGTGGTGAACAGGGAAGCAACTTGCATAAGTCTTCCCCTGCCAGTACACAGCCTCTTCACCTTCAAGACTCCTGCTGTGCCTCCTCGTGGCATCACACATTAACTGGGTGCCTTGTGGGCCCAGGCTAGACCAGCAGAGGATCTCGTAGCTGCAGTGGACCCCAGAGGAATGGCGCATAGGCCCACTGACATGTGGACGTGTCCTGGCGCCTACCAACCACTGCTTTGCTGCCTTGCGGATTAACCCTAAGGCCACGGGTGATGTTCCAGAACGCCCGGCTTGCGTGCCCCGGGTGACGTTTCAGAACGTCTGCCTATTTCCCTCCCCTTTTTTTTTTTTATTTCTGGGGGGGGGGGTTACTGCCAGCAGCACCCTAACCCAGGGCTAGAAACGGTGCCCTAAACATAGCCTGCCTAACGAACAACCTGACTGGGGAACCACACCCAGTAAGGTCATCCTGATGCAGTCAAAAACACAATCATAATCACAGATCCAAGCAAAATCAAAACTATACAACCACTTATGGTCATTGCATGGAATGTCAGGACCCTTCTGGAGACTGTCACAAATGAGCGTCTTGAAGGAAGAACCACCCTTTTGGCAAAAGAGCTAGCTAGGTATAACATTGACATAGCAGCCATTAGTCAGTCCCGGGTCCAGGAAGAGGGTCGACTCACAGAACGGGGGTCTGGCTATACCTTCTTCTGGAAGGGTAAGTCTGCTGTGGAGAGAAACTGCAGTTATGGAGTTGGCTTTGCTATCCTCCAATGCATTCAACATCGGCTAACTGAAATGCCTGTTGGAATCAATGAGCACCCCATGGCACTCAGAGTCCCACTGATTCACTCACGTCATGCCTTCTTCATTAGTGCATGCGCCCCAACACTGGATGACATCAAGGAGGTCTTTTATGCTGACCTTGACAGAGTGCTAACCTCTATCCCAGAGAAGATAAGGTTGTGCTCCTAGGTGACTTCAATGTTAGAGTTGGCAGAGGTACTGACATTTGGCAGGGAATCACAGGGTGAAATGAATTGGGCAAGTGTAATCGCAATGGCCTACTCCTCCTCAGCAAGTATGCAGCACACAACCTCACTATCACCAATATCTTGCTTAGGCAGGCACATGTGGCGCATGGTACGCGTGGTGTGTGTAAGTGCGTGCGTGCGAGCGAGCGAGGGGGGCTACTGAGTGGCTGGTTAGTGCAGTGGCCCCCAGACCCCCCCCCCCCAAAAAAAAATGCTTAAAGTCCTGACAATGAACCAGTCTGGCCCCCTGTTTCCCCAAAATTGTCCAGACTTTCAAGGGTTTACTGTATACAGTATACCAATTCTCAACTGTGTCTTCAAAACTGCAGTCAGAGATAGCAAACAAACAAACAAACAATTTGCTTTATAAATAAAACCAGACAACTTAATGTTACTTATTGATGAAAAATGTTTTCAACTTTGTCTCATGAAATTTAAATCTTAATTTTTTTTTTTTTAATACCATATTTTTTGCAGGGTCTTTATTCATCCTTGGGACTATGGATATTGACTCTGTTGATGTCAATCGTCTATCAGAGTACTTGGTGGAAACATGATGACTTTTTCTTGTCCACTGCTGGCTGGGTGCTGGGTATCCAGATTGGACTTCTCATTCTGCTGCCAATACAGGTATTATTCATGTGAATTTTTTATATTTTGGTCTCTTTGTATTAGATTGGAAATTCATTATACAGTAGGGGGTCTTATTTATATGTCACATATGTGTTCCAGAGAAAAGTGATGTACAGGTTGACAACCCTTTATCCGAAAACCGAAAAGCTTTGAAAACCTTTTCTTTTTTTTCTTTTTTTTACAGGGATTAGCCCACCAGGGCATAGATCACTGACCCACATCAGGGCCTGGGGGGCGAAAATGTAATAGTAATAATAATTATAATAATAGTAATTATTCATAGTACAGTAAATAAACATTTTAATAAAAATACACCAAAATAAAATAATATGATGACATTAATAATAATAATAATAATAAAATATAATAATAAAATTAATAAAAATAACAATAATACAGGAGTACTGTAATAATAAAATAATAATAATAATAATAATAAAGAAATACAAGAATGAAAAAAAGATCAAAAGTGAGAAACACGACCTTGACCTATGAATTATTATTATTATTATTATTATTATTATTATTATTATTATTATTATTGTTATTATTATTATTATTATTATTATTGTTATTGTTATTATTATTATTATTGTTATTGTTATTGTTATTATTATTATTATTATGATTATTATAATTATAATTTGTATTATATTTTGCAGGCTCTGATGTGGGTCAGTGATCTATGCCCGGGTAGGCTAATATACATTAAAAAAAATAAAATAAAATAAAAATAAACTCTGAAAACCGAAAAATTCCGAAATCCGAAATGCCTCTGGCACCAAGGATTTCGGATAAGGGATTGTCAACTTGTACAATGAAACTAACGTTTTGCAGTCAAACTTCCCAAATTCAAATTGCTTCGGACCAAGACCTGTTTAATTTCTGGAAAAATTTGAACTTTGTTTACTTAAGTATCATGGTCTTTTTATTACACACTGTAAGTGTAATATTTATACTCGAGTTTCCCAAAATCTTATTATTTTCTTATTTTTTTAATTCCTTAAGTACTGTGGAAAGTAAAAGTAATTTTTTGCCTTTAAGCCTCAATATATTTAATATAGGGTGTATTTACAAAAGGAACAATACAGTACAGAACTGTACATTAAAAAGAAATTATACCATCTCACTACCAGGCCAAAGGGGGAAATTTCATCATCCAATGAGCTTTATGTTATGTTTATTTATCAACTTGTAATTTTGGGTAGATCTATGTAATTTTCTTCAGTTTTTGTACTCGGTTACACGAACACATCATCCTATATATGAGGTATCCCGCATCGTTAGGTGCTTTTAGACCATCCAGACGAAACCCGTTTTTTTTGGAAAGCATCATTTTTGCCCTAGCTCTAGAGTCTAGACAATGGTAGTTGATAAGATCTCCTTACTTCTCTGTAAATAAGGTTGAAAACCCTTTGAAAATAGGGTACAACATCTATTTGTGGCAGACAGGAAATTATGGGCTTGGCTTTCGCATCGTAAGGTGTTCTCATCCCATCAGTGAGTGAATGAGAGGAGCGGGAGGTCAATCACAGCGGCCAGCGTACAGTCTCCTCCCCCGTCTCAGCCAATGACAGTGAGCGTCTGCTATCTATGTCATGGCCCCTCCAGCGGGCGGGAACTACACTCTGATATCGATTAGAGTAAAAAAAGCCATAAGCGAGTGGGAGTTTTGTTGCTTCAAGTCAACATTTCAACAACCCAGTACATTACTTCATGATGTGCTACGTACCATCTGCAAGTACAGTCCTTTAGCTTCAAAATTCATGAAAAATTAATGCTGTATCTCAAAAAAGAACAAAGTTATGCATGTTTAAAATTGGAAAAACTTTAAACGCGGTTTTCTCGGTTTCAAATTTTGGCATGAATAACCCATACGATGCGGAGCGCCTCATATAGAATACAGGAAAGCCTTCGATAACAATGATTCATATTTAAGAACCAGGTTAATTTAGGACCCAATTCAATTTACACCATTGTTGTCTTCGTATTTAAGACGAAAATATAAAAAATAAAGTAAAATTAAATTTTCATATAAATAATAACTAAATCCCGATATGTATTAAAAAAAAAAAGCCTTGCGCTCTGAGGCTACCGAGCTTGTGAGACGTGACGCAAGCATAAACAGTCGCAGTTGGCGGGCCCTGTTTTCACACATCTGAACAGGAAAAGGAGAAAACCTTTCTCAGGTTTCTTACGGCATTTTTGCGCCCCTATTCAACATGAGCAAGAGAGCAAGTGATGGTAGTGCTGGTTCAAAAGCTAAAAGAAAGTGTATAAGCTTAGCCAAGAAACTAGATGTGTTAAAATGATATGAAAAAGTTGAGAAGTCTGTGGATATTTTATGGATCAAACAATGAACATATTTTCTGAAGTGGATCCATTAACAGAAAGAAGCATTAAAATTAACAGGGATGTGAAAAATGCATATGACCTCTACATAAAGATGTATAATGAGAAAAGAAAGCAGCTGTGAATGGTTCTTTCGACAGCTTTATTAATCGAAGGCCTAAACCATCAACTTCAGCTACACCATCAAATTCAGCATCATAAGCAGCTTCGGCAACAACTTGAGGTTCAGTAACAGTTTCAGCAACAGCTATGATATCTTAATGGAAAGCTTCAGCTTCAGCCAGAGTTGAACCTGATGACTTAGTCTTCTGAGTAAAGACTTGCACAATATTCATTGGCTGTCCTTGTGTTTTAGACTTTACCACCATTTGTGAGTAGAATTTTTATTTTACATTACTAAGTATTTATTAAGTATTATTTAAAACATATATGAACAGTAATAAGTGCTGCTTTCATATTCCTATGTACAGAAATGACGATTTTTTCACATGTACGCCCTTACATACGATGGCGTTCCCAATCAATTTTTATTTTTATTTACCATTAATGGTTAGCTACTTCTGTTGTTCCATTTATTAACATTAAATAACATTACTGTACAGTCGGCCCTTAACATACGCAGGGGTTACGTAACAGAGATACCCGTCGATGTTAAAAAGCCGCATATTTTTGCTGCCCCCCCATGTCCTTATTTACCGTATATACCTGTGTGTAGTTCGAGTTTTTAAGACCAAATTATTTGGCAAAAAAATTGGGGGTCGACCTCTAAACGGGTAATAGTTTCGTTAGGTTGAAAAATATTTACCAGTAACTACCAGTAAACAATGGAAACGATGCACCAACGCACAACCAGCTGTGAGTGTCGGTACAGTTGCCAGGGCAGATCTCTTGCGTCATCATAGCAAGCCCAAAGTAGCCAAATCTATGGTATGGTAGCACAGGACGATGTAAAACATAAAGTAGTCATTTATTAAAGTTTATTTATAGATACTGTACATAAATTTTTGTTCATTACATTTGAAACATCAATCTTTGTTAATTAAATTTGAAACAAAAGAAAACTACGGTACCGTATTTTCATTAAAATATTACATCACAAGTATATTTTACCTTAACTGTGACTGAATGAATATACGTATTCTCAGAAATAAATATGGAAATATTATATTTTTGCTGGAATGACGTACATATTACAGTGGAAAGTGGGATAAAATCATGACGAAAACAATGACTTTCGCTTTCTTTCGTTATTCAAAAGATTTTACCGAAATCGCTTTTTGAATGGTTTTCAGTTAAAAAACTGTTGTACTCGTACTGTATTACAATATTATTGTATCCTATCATTAGCCTTATAATCCCACAACTGAAAACCATTCGAAAAGCGATTACGGCAACATCTTTTGAACGAAAGAAAAAGTCATTGCTTTCGTCACAATTTTATCCCACTTTCCACTGTAATACGTACATCATTTCAGCAAAAATATTACATTTCCATGTTCTCAGAAATAAATGGTAGTTTTGTTGAAACGTAATGTACAGTATTTAATATTAAAATGCAAAAATAGCTATAAAAACAATTAATACACCCGTAATGTACAGTATTTAATATTAAAATGCAAAAATAGCTATAAAAACAATTAATACACCCGTAATGTACTGGCTGGCATCTCCACTCGTCCCTGCTCCCGCGTCCAAGGTCACCACTCACTCCCTCCACTCCCTCTTCTGCCTCCTCCACCTCCTCACCGTCACTACTGCCGACAACAAACACAAATGTTTTGTGAATAACTGCACCTCCACTTCCTATGTACAGTACTGAACTGTACTGTGCTGTGCATTTTTACAAACAATAAACATGGCAAGGAAAGCTATTAAAAAAAAAAAAAGATTAAAATTTCACTTTACTGTACCGTACCTATCCTCGGCGACAGGACGGGGGTCATCGGGCTCATCGTCACTCAATTTCATAACGGGTGGTGAAGTGGGGGCGACGGTGGATTCAGCTGCTTCCTCACTGCCACCAATGATTGATGATGTCGTCTCTTTCTTTTCATTCTTCCATGATGTTTATGTATGGAGCAAAAACGTCATCCATCCCTCGCATGAATTTCAGGGCATGCACCATGGAGGGTGTATGTATATTATGTATGTGCTCCATTTATATACATTATTTATTCTGCCTAGCTAGCAGCGTGTGGCAATGTATTTACCATGTTCCACACGCTTAATTAATGTGCCTGGCGACATATGGAAGCTGCTAATGTATCACTTGCCACATGTCGCCTAAAAGGCTAGTTGACCCCCCAGACAGAGTAAGGAGCGCCACCTCCCTTGTGTATCTCTGTTTATCCAGTAAATAGAACCTACGAAAACTCTACAGGTGTTTGTGTTCGCTCCTGTAGATAGAACTTGATACCCAGAACATATGCATGGCGCAGTGTGTCATTTAACTGGATCATTATACAAATGCAGTGTAAAGTTTGTGGCAAGACCGGCTTATGGACCCCTGCTCTGTGTCAACCACCGCTAATGGCCGTCTCTTCATAGAATTTATAGCAACTTTGAGCAGTGTCAGTTACAGTAATTTCCTGTGAAGTGTATAGTGCATTGTGTGTTTAGTGCCATAACTGTGTGACCTTGTTCTA